TTCTCTTCTCTTCTCTTCTCTTCTCTTTTCTTTTCTTTCTTTCTTTTCTTTTCTTTTCTTTTCTTTTCTTTTCTTTTCTTTTCTTTTCTTTTCTTTAATCCTCTCTTCTCATCTAATCCGTTTGACAATTATAATTACTACGGGCTAAACCTGCGAACGAAATTCTAAGCATCAAACATTTGAATATCAAGATGGTAATTATATGTGTAGTTATCATCTGATGCTTATCTAATTGATGTTCAAAAGCAAAATGAAATCAGTCAGTTTAGAAGGAGGAGACGTGGAGAAAAAAAACAATAGATAGTAACTAAGAACGAGCATGAAGTCAAATCTTCCATTGGAGATAGGCAATCGCATGGAACCAAAAGTTGAATTGCTCAATTAAACTGTCTTTGAAAATCTAAAATTTCATTATCACTGCTATTTCCACTTATCCTCCCAAATTAATCCATTAAATCTGTACCCAAATCTCAATTCAAATGTATGTGAGAAGACCAAGTCAGATTTCATAAGAATAAATGAAACTCGATCATTGAAAATAATTAATTTTTAAAAAGCATAGAATGGGAAGGGTCAAAACAATATTGAAATTTCACTCATCTGTCACTCGATCAACACTTTATAATTTCTACTATCTGCATTATAATCACGAGTTCCTTGAGTTTTCTCCAAAAAATTAATTATTCATCATAAAATTTGCCACCATCAAAACAATGCATTAATTAATTGAGCACTAAACTCGTTGCTTTTAAAGACGCAGACTTCGCTGGTACTATAATTACGGTATAACAATTACGGTATTAAATTATGGTATTATGATAATGGTATTGTAATTACGGCATTATAAATATAATTATGGTATCATAATTACGCCTTATAATAACGATATAATTACGATGTCATAATTACAATATCATGTCACGATCGCAGTATCATAACTACGGTTTAATTACGGTATTGTGGTCAAAATATTACGACCATGTATTTTAAATACATCATTATAATTTGTAGCATTATAATTATGGTGTTGGGAATGCGGTATTGAAATTATAGTGCAAAATATCGTCATCATAGCAAACATTGAATATTATATGGAAAAAATTCCAGAAAATATCTCTTATGGAAAATTTTAGAAAATATCTGCTATAGAAAATTCCAGGAAATATGTCTTATGGAAAATTCCAGAACATATTTGCTACAGAGCTCTATTTATTTTACTGAATAAAGTAACAAGAATTTTATTCATTGTTGATATTTCATAATAGCTGATTTGTCAGACATTTTTACATGTTAAGTCGTAAAATGCATTCCAAATTTACATGTCGAATTTTGTATTTTTTTCAAAAAGAAATATCCGTAATCATCAGAAGTGTGGATTCCTTGAAAACTTCATAACATTTGTAACAATGTCAATGTGAAATATAAATGTAAATATTCGAACGACCCATTTAAATTATTTAAAAATGTTGTTTTATTTATTTTTTTGCAATTTGTCAAAATTCTAAATTATTTTTAATGAAAGACTTTGCCGTGTTCAAAGTTATCTGTGTGATAAACCTAAACAATTACCATTTTTCAAACATTTTTACACTATTATTGAAAAGTAAAGGGGAACGAAAACAAAGGATTACTTATTAGAGGATTGCCATATTACTTTTTTTAAAAAGAAGACTACCGTATTACCGTATTACTTTTTGCCAGCTACAGTATTTCTTCCCACTAGTCGCCCTATCAGCTTTTACTATCTATCAATAATTATTATAATGTTATTTTTTTGCTAAGCTTCAATATGATAATTGAGCATTTTGGTACAAAATGAATTTCGAAAATTTCAGGACATTAATAATACGGGAGATAATACATTTTAGTATACTACATGCTAAATTTTTTAAAAGGTGGCATTATTAAAATATTAATTCATTAAATAACAAATAATGCAAAAATTGTTGCTAAATAATTGAATAAAGTATTATAGTTCCGGTATTATAATTAGGGCAGTACGATTATGGTATTATAATTACAGTGTTCGTATTGTAGATTTATAAACATGTATTATGATTGCAGCATTATGTTATGATGATTATGATATTATGATTACGGTATTACGATTAAGAGAATTTCTGCGCCATCTTGCACTATTTCAGGAAATTTCGAAAAAGTGCCAGAAGCAATTATTCCTTTTTATAAAGTTTAACTTGTCATTGAAGCCTGTAAACCGTTATGCATCATTTGGTATGTTTTGCTGTATTGTAGAAATTGATTGAAATTAAAAGAATTGTGCTCGATGTGCTCTTTTTGCTTTCGTATTCTTAAATCATTAACAGTAGCTTACGAAGGAAGGTGATTTGGGTACCACTGTTCATACAGAAGAATAATGAATTGGTGAAGACCGACTTAATATTTCATAGTTTTATGACGAAGAACTAACAACCATTTCATGCTTAATTTTTATGTTTGACACAAAAAATCTATTAGGAGTGGGATTTGGCAGTCCGTGTTTTTGGAATAGCACAAAGGACTGGTGACAAATTTTAAATTAATCAACGCGATAATTGTAAGCCATCAGTTTCGATCCTTGTCAAACTTATGGCCATAAGTTTCGAATTCTTAAAAGCACATGGTCAAGAGATTTCAGTTCACTTTAATATGAGAGTGTTGATTTATAAAGCATGAATCAATACATTCAGTTTTTCCAATATTTCATGTTTATGAATTCCATGTACATTTCAGCGACATTGTGACATGTGTCATCGTTTTCTAATTGATTTCTATTAGTCATTTATGACTTTTATTATGTACTTCCCATATTGTGAAAGATTTGTTTTCCGAAAATCATTTTCACACTAGCAGAACTATTTCCTAAAACAGTGCAAACAGACTTCATTATTTACTTTAATGGTCTGATGTACTGGTGGTACAATAATATGACATCATATTGTAGCAGAGTTACACGTCAACACTCAAGTTATATTAAAAATGAGAGAAAGAACAATGATAAATATTGACAACAATAAAGCACATTAAGCTTAACATGTAAATACATCTGCCATTATCAATAGCATCTAAATAAAATCCACGTATTGCCATACCTTTGCAACACATTTTTTTTTTTTTTCTATTCTTTTGACATCTATGACATACAACACAATACATAAAGTCTTCCACGCATTTATCATTAAAAATGATTTTTTAAATAAGAAACTATGGATGGAATTAGCTTTCTTTTAAAAATAGTACACAATTAAAATGGAAAATAGCAAAAAAAAAAACCGGGTGTGTGGTAATTTTTCCCTGGATGATTCTTTAGAACCGGAATTGTGATAATTTTTCACTGGATGATTATTTAGAACCGGAATTGTGATAATTTTTCACTGGATGGTTCTTTAGAACCGGAATTGTGATAATTTTTCACTGGATGATTCTTTAGAACCGGAATTGTGATAATTTTTCACTGGATG